GGTTTAATTGAAGGGTGGAGAGATAAATGGCTCGGTGAGCCTCCCTTTCTAGTGCGTGGTCTCTTGCTTTGTGATGGTCCCACCAGGATGCAGCTGCCTTAGCCAATTCCCTGCTTCAGCTGGCAAGGCTCACTTCCTGCAAGACATCCCTGAGGAGACGCCACACGGACTTACCCACATGTAGCCCTGTGTGCTGGAGCAGCTGTGTGGAGACCCCTGCGAGTGCTGAGATGCTTACACATTCACTGATTCAGCATTCCTCCTGCAGTCAGCATCATTGAGTGTGTTTTGTGAGATGGAGGAGGACTTTGTGGATTGGTGTCAGACATGTGGGTTAATATTGGACTTGTGGGCTTGGACAGCACTGGGTTGGGATGTTTTTTTGATGTGCACTTAACCTTTATATAAAACTCTCTCTTATACATGAGTTTCTGTGGATTTGTTTCTCTAATGTACCAAGACTCACACAGCCACATTGACTTGTCAAGATTGATATGGCTAAGACCCATGACTACTTAGTGCTCAATCAATCAGCAGCTAAGACGAACACCGAGTATCCTACAGCACACCACTTCCAAGGGTGATCAGCCAGGTACTCGGTGACAGGTCACTTACATGGACCTTCTTCAATAATATAAGATAGCAGATAACTCGTAGTGAAATGGACACTTATTCTGAGCATAGACGTTTCTGCCCTGCATGTAATACTTGTACTAAAACTATAATAAAGGATTTTTTTTTAAACTTCATGTCCATCATCGTGCTGTCTCACACACAGTCGCTTCGGGTCAAGAAACTCACTTCATAGAAAATACAGTGTAATGTTGAACCCATATTCATGGATTTCTCTAGTTTTACCATGTTCTCCATCATCTTATTGGAGGATAGCTTATAAAATGATAGGGAGGCCTTTTGAAGGTTCAATTATAAGGCTTGCTTTGTGGTAATGCCATGCAGGATAATTTTCCAGGAGAATTTAAATCAGTGTTAAATATAGGATTCTATTTCCCCAATAGCTCATTTAAGGATTCAGGAATAATGGAGGAAATAGAGTGACATCATTCTTCCTGGAATCCCTATTATTCCTAGTATACACTACTACTTTTTGGCTTTCTATTCTCACAGTGTAATGCTCTATTGATCTAGAGGTCTTAATTACAAAGGAATGAGTGGTTTTACTTTGTTGTTGTTGTCTATTTAGTTGTTTTATCATGAAACATAGTAATGATTAAATTGAAGGTGAGAGTAAGACTGTCACCTGGATATTTTGTGTTCCAATGCCTCAGAATCACTAGAATAGAAGGGAGGCGCTGTACTGATGGGTGTGATTAATCATGATTTCCAAGTTGAAATTGGTCTGTTATTATTACATGATGGAAGTGAGGAAGAGTATGTCTAGAATATGGATTATTCCTTAGGGTAGCTTTTAGGACTATCATTCCCAGTGAATAAAGGTCATGGAAATCTGTAATAACACAATTCAGATAGGAATACTAATGCCCCAAACATTTTAAAAATAACATTTTTGATTAAATCACCAGGCAAAGAATCATTATGGGCTAAAGTACATGCTGAGAAAAAGGAACTTTTAAATGTGTAGCATACGTAGGCATTGTAAATACTAATCAGTGACCAATTACACAAATGAAGATTAATTGTTGCTAGTATATTTTCTTTAAAATATGTTTCAGCATATATGGATAACATGTCATGTTTGCTTCAATCTCTTTTCCCTTAATAATATAACATAAACCAGAAACCAACCCAGTGCCATCAAGACAACACCAACTGATAGCGACTCTCTAGGACACAAGAAAACAGCTCTATGGTGTTTCCATGAATGTGATCTTTATGGAAGCAAATTGCTATTTCTTTCTCCTATGGAGCTACTACTAGTGGGTTCAAATCTCCAAACTTATCCCCAATACTTTTTAATTTTTTTACACATTTTTCTCCCACTCAATTCAGTTCCTTTTAATCTGGTAACTGGACACTATATAGTTTTAATGGTTTATGGGTCCTGGAAACTGAGGTTCATGTGGCCCATTAATCCATTTCACTATCATTTCCCTGTGTCTTCACAAATATTTCTTTACTTAAGAGAATCAGATAGCTGTGCCATGGATGGCTATTCATAAGCTTTTAAGATCTCAACTGTTATAAAATTAGGATTTCAAATGTTGTCTTTTTGGACTAAATTATTCCATTTGATATAGGTGACCCCAAAACTATGTGCATGAGTTCCCAGGCTAAATGACATATTTACTTATGGTGTTTGATTATGGATAAGACATTTTCATAATTTTTCCTAGTTATGTTTTGATACATTCATGGATATATTAACAGTAAACACTTATGTGGAAACATGCTCCATAAAAGCTCGCTTTCTCTCTATATCTATCTATCTATTTATCTATCTATCTATCTATCTATCTGTCTGTCTGTCTGTGGATGAGCACATTTATTTTTGTTTCAATTCTTGCACAGTTTTGATTTTGATAAAATAAGCCATCTTGATTGTTGGTGCAGAGCCTGAAATTTAGATTTTCTACAAATAGCTTAATAAATATTTCCTGTCAACTCATATATATCATACATACACATATGAGGGTCTACCCCCAAAACTCTGGAATTGAATTGCTTTCATAATTTCTTAAAAGTGTCCAGATAAATGCCCAATCTTGGACTAATTATTCCCCACTTCTGAAACAACATCAAGTAACATCCTCTTAAGTGATTGTCTAATGAAAATTTTCATTCTGCCTGATGTGGACACAATTCTTGACTCTGTGTTAGTTCTGCTAGATAGTCCTGTAGAATTTCTTTTTAATCTTCCTCATGTGTATGAGTATGTACTGATTAGTTCTCAGTTAAATACCTCCTCAGCTAATGCCCTACTGGGACTCTCTCTGTAGCACTGTCCTGTATGATTCTCTATCCAGTAACTGTTCGCCTTCTAGAGTTCACTGAACTTTCATCTCTGCCTCCTGAATCATTGATGTTCTCTTGACACTGCATAAATTCTTTCTCACTGCACAGCTTCTTGGAAACTCTGCATACTGGAACAATCGGAGTTCACCTTAGTTATTTTCTGTCTCTTGGAGATCACTATCATTCATTGCTTGGTGTTGCATTTTAAAGCCAAAATTAAACACATCGTTCTATATAACTTGTTGTTGTTGATGCTGCAGTTGTTTCAATTTGGAGAGTTAATATAGTCTCTACTCCCTTAGGTATGAGAAAGCAATGTTGCTATAATAATGTGCCGATCTCCCCTACCAAAATTCTTGTTATAAAAATGATGTTCCTTTGGGACTAATTTTAAGCCATTGCTAGTTTAGAGTGTTTATTAGGCTTTACAATTTCCAGGTGTACTACCCAGAACAATGATTGTATACTGGAGAATGTATCATTAAAATCTACACCCTTGTGGCACATATATCTCTTATGAGAGAAAAGAAGTATGTACAAATACTTCCTACATTGTGACATGATGGTTACATGGATTTTCTTACTTGGTATCAATGAAATATTCTATTGTATAACTCCAGTTGGTGCTCAACAAAATAAATCAATAGCCATATAATGAACACACTTACAACAATATTGTCTTCTACTAGGAAACACAATCTGATTTAAGTTAATGCTTACATTATTAAAATTGATTTCCTAAAAATCTATTTCTCATTAGGACCTCCAGCTAAATATTTCTAGCAACATCTTACCTAACATTATTTCTAAATTAACTAAAACATCTATATTGTGTTGACTCTATTTTGATCTATAAGAATAAGTTATATTTATATACTCCATTACTCAGTATAGCATAAACTCTACATGTCAGAGGAAGATTCACTATAATTGTATAATTTACATCGTTTGAAGTATTTTTCCCAACCATAGCTACTAACAATATTGAAGTGGTGTATGCTGAGACTTTGCAGTGATGTTTGTTTAACCCTTAAGCTAGAAATTATAACATATCACTTCTTATTCTTTCTATACATCTCAAACCAAAAACATTTTGGTTATAATCATTTTCTAGCATTGTTAAAATAATATTGAAGAAGAAAGTGCCAACTGACACAATAACGCACATAATAATTTTAGTCTCACAAAGCAGTCAGATGCTAAATGTAATGACTTCTTTTTAAATCAACTATGAAATGGTATATTTGAAATACGCAAACATTCTATGTTGCAGTCTGGTTTTATTAACTTAGTCAAAGACCACGCTGTGCTGACTCTTTGCTCTGTTGATTTTGCAATGGCCTTTGGCCCATCACAATAACATGTTGACCTGACCTACCAGAGAAATACGTGTTTTCTATTGCTTTGAGGCTGTCGTTTCTTTATTCCTTTATTTCTCGGGAGAAAATAAAAGCTCCATTATTCTTCCATATTTTCAAATCTCAGAAAATCAACATTAGTATATCCAAAGGCAAAGGATATTAAATGTGTGGAGTTAATCCACTCATTGTAGATTATGGTGTTTCTTGACTTCGAGAACTCTAACTAAGCATTTATACTTTTTAATTTGAACTTTAAAATGTTCAGAGAACAGAAAATTCTCCCTAAACTAGGACTTCTTAATGATTTTTCTGCCAGGGACAACTTCGAAACCCAAAGATTCCTTCAAAAGATAATATTTTTAAATGCATAAATACCAATTGCATTGTAATTGTAAAACTTTATTAAAACAAAATTATGTAAGCACACTTTGGAAAGAGTCTATACACATCAGGTTAAAGTTGTACAATTCAGTGTATTTCAATTTACACTTGTCCATGAAGAATATTGGACCAGTTAAGAAGCGAAAACAAACAAAGATATATATAAGTATACTATTGGATGCTGAGCCTGGAAACCAAAAGTAATGGGAATATTAAAATACTTTTATAAACATACAGTTTAAATCACTGAGGTGTGCAATATAGAGAAATGCATTTTAGAAGTAGGAACAAAACAAAGCGATAATGCAAGAGGAACCGCATTCCTACCTTTATGGCAGTGGATGCAATTTGAATGTGGTGCAGTCTCCGGAGGGTGCTGTCCCTGTCGATGAAGTAGGACGCGGCCAGCTGATGCAGAATTTCCAGAGTGACTGACGAGCTGTTGGTGCTGGACTCACTTCCTTCCGATCGTTTGCTCAGCTTCCGCTTGTCCACAAAAATTGTGAGCGACTCCTCTCCTGCATTAACAATATTTCAAATTATGCTGTTTTCCACTTACAGTTAGATTGTAATTATCTTCAGGTAGAAATGCCTAGATTATGGCCACAGGGAAAGAGGGGAGGATGAGGTTTGCGTTTTTTTTTTTGCTCACATATGTTTTCTCAAGTGCCTGCAAGAGGTAGCTTTCACTTGTTATTTGTGAACATCGAAGAGCTAGTTTGATTTAGCCAGCTTTCAGTGATGTCCTCAGATAGTTTGGCTTTCCTACAGTGGGATCCATAATATGAAACTGCATTTATTTATCATATTTTATTTTTCTCCCTGAAAACACTATAGGAAAACGAAAACATGGCAAAGCATATTATTATTTTTAGCAGTTTTTAACTGTACCTTAAGATGAAAACTGTGTATCGCTATATGTATACTTGGCATCTTAAAGATATATAATAAAATAAATCCAGGTTTTATAGTGTATAAGTTAATGAAGATTTTTAGACTCTGATTAACATACACATGTTTTTACTAGGGCTTGTGGCAGCATACTGGTAAGGATTCTGATCAGACGTTCACAAAGCGGGGGATGATTGTTATAGCAAGTGAAGACGCTGTTCTTATGGATAGCCGTTTCGATTGAGTTATCAGCACCACTGAAGAGTGAACTCTGAGTTTCCCTCTGGCTTCTCCTCTGTGTGATTCTCATAAATCATTTCATAATCCTGTATTACTAGATAACATTTTATTTGACAATAGAAGCATAATTATAAAATTAACTGAACATTTAAAAATATTTCTGTCTTATAACTTCTTAGATTTCCTTTGTATATGCAATTAAGCAAGGGTTGGTTAGGTTTTATTTGGAGGTGCCACCCAATACAGGTTCTTTTACATAAACTGAAAAACGTAATTTTAAAATCCAGATTTTTCTTTTGAAAAACCAGCTGAAAATGAAATTAATGACCAAGCAAAAACTTTAACATTACTCGTTTTCTCTGTTAGTAACAAATTCAGATGTTCCCAATGTACTCCTATTTTGTTAAAATATAGTGTATAAAGAAGCTTCATGGGGGACACTAACCTCCAAGAAAAATGGCAAAGGACTCCCAAAGGCAAATCTTAAATATATAAAAAACTAAGCTATGCTTTTCAATAGTCAAATGCTGACAAAAATGCCATTATGATTTCAGGTGCATATGAACCCGACATCGTCAGACTTCCACAGCCTTGGATGTTCGACAAGAACATAAGTGTCACACTTGATGCTTGCTCTGGTTCTTTCGGGAGCCCATCTGTTCTAGTGGCATTGTGCCCACCTACAAACTGAGAATCCAGCTTTAGGAAAGGCCAAATGTGATTTTCTAGTAGAAATAGTGCACATCTGGTTTATACCTTAAGCACAGTGTTAACTTAAAAATAAAATAAGACATTTCTATGGCTATTCCAAATATTCAATTGTAAATAAAAGTCAGATTTTTTCTTCAAGTTATCAGTTCTATTGATGCATTTGCAAAGTGTCAACAAACGTTATTTTCTAAAATCATATGCACGGTTGTATTTGGATCACAACATGTATATTGCGAGTCAAGCCAATTAACTAAGATTACTAAAGAAAAGACTGTGAGAATGAGAGTGGGTGGGTCACATAATCAGCAGTATTAGGACATGTGCTTGGTCAACATCTTTGTAGGGGGTGCATCGAATGTGAAAAGAGATTACACAATTAACATTCAACAGAAACAAACAAAAACTGCCCAATAATCATTTACTCACAGGAGACCCCTGTGTGAAAATTTGTGTGCATACAACTTAAAATGGTGAGTAAATCTGAGAAAACTCACACATATTCCAAATTGTGAGAGAGTACACAAAAACAAGCCAACACCCCAAATCGGTAAGATAACCTAAGAAGTCACAGTTTGCATGCATGCCCTAGAAATAACCTCTTCCTTGAATGCAGAACATTCTTTCTGAGAGGTAAAATACTGGATGTTTAAGTCAAATTAAACATGAACTCTGGACTACAAAAAATTAAGAAATAAAATTCAGGAAGTTATAGAAATGTGCCCAGAGGAGGGAAACATTGCTTCAAAAATAAATCTATTTTTGAGGAGGAGCGTATTAAGCATTATATTTTTGAAATATTTTTAAATCACATAATTCTGAGAGAGGAGAAGTGTCTACACCCAGAAGCCGTGTTTTGCACATTTTGGATTTATAGTAATGCATAAATACCTTGTAAATTAACTGATAAAACTAGTCATATTAATTTATACAATCTCATTTCCTATTGGAATACAAAGCAAAATGCAGCTCTGAAATATAAGTAAAAGTTAAATTTGATTAAGAAAGGTTGAAATAAATTAATAAAGATAAATTGATAAATACCAATAAAACAGTGATTTGTATATATCATATTATATTAGCAAAGGTCTTTATGCTGTTTGGTAAAAGGCCATTGAAAAAGGGGAAAATATTCAATGTGACGGATAGATACAGTGACTATAACAATGGGCTCAAACACAGCCATGATTGTGAGTGTGACTCGCGACTAGGTAGTATCCTGTTGTTATACAGAGAGTTGCTCTGAATTGTAATAGAATCAACAAAATCTAACAACACCATCATAATAAGAGTAGTAATAAAGGAAAAACATTGACACAGAAATAAAGACAGACAAAATCACGAAAACTAACATACACATGCATGAAAATCTACAGAAAATATGGAAAATTACTGGAATGAAAGACTGGTTTGAAATGAGGGAAATATTAATAGAAATTAGTGTATTAATAGATTTAGAAAGAAAATCTACCAATTCTTATAGAGTATTGATAAAATGAATAACTATTCCTGCTAGTTTTTAGTAAATTAGCATCAGTGAATGATTAGGATTCAGTGGATAAGTTTCACAGCTCCCTGGTGGCATGATTAAGCACTCATGGACTAAATGCAAAGTCAGCAATTTGAATCCACAACTGCTTCCATGGGGCATTATTCGATCCTACTCAGAAGCTATGACTCTAAAGCAACTCAATAGCAATGCATGTTCTGGGAGTTTTTCAAAAGGATAAAATACATACACCCATTCATCACTTATGAACATAGGTTGCAAAAACCAGTTTGTTATGTGAAAAACAGCACTATATAAAAATGAAGAGATATATCACACCAAATGACAATATGGAAGATGACTACATCATTAGATCACTTCCAAATAACTGTTCTACAGTTATTTGTCAAACCACTGCCAATCAGAGGCCAGACAACTTAACACATAATGGGAATCATCACAGTAAGCATTATCTTGTCTCATACTTCAATATCAGTTATTGCCAGACAAACATACATCCTAAATGAACAGAATTAGTCAGTAGATTTATTTGTTAGTTTTTAAAATGGGAAATGGTAGATCAATGTGAAATGATAGCTAGTAAGCTAATCAATAACGAAGAATAGATGTACTCCAAGGAGCAACGATGTCAGTGGTCATTAGGCTACTAACCATAAGGGTTGGTTGTTCAAACACAGCCGATGCTCTACATGAGAAAGGGGAGACATTCTGCTCTTGTCAAGGTTTAGTTAGAATCCCAGAGATTTCTAAATCAGTTCTATTTTATCTTATAGTTCACTATGAATTTTAAAGAATTGGATGGAAAAGTACGAGATATACTGTTTGGTCCCCAAGGAAGAATTTTATATACTGGGAAATGCAGAAGTCATTATCATTAAAATCAGACCAGCAAAATATATCCCCCATTGGTTATATTATTACCATACTAATAAATATATTAAGAGAGAATAAAGTTAAAGCAATAGAAGTAACTCACTGCCAGTGAGTCAATTTCCAACTCATTAAAACCCTATAGGACAGGGTAGAATTGACCCTATTGTTTTCTGAGACTATGTATTTAAGGAAATATAAAGCCTCCTCTTGGGTTGGTGGATTTGAACTGCAGAACTTGTAGTTAGCAGCCCAATACATAACCCATTCCACCACTGAGAATCCTCTTTGAATATAATATGACTATATGTTTCAAAAATAGTAGAAAATCAATATACAAACTAGTGCAGACAGTAATAGAACACAGTAAGCTAACAGAATAATAAAAACATTATTGAATCAGTGGATCATAAGTATTATAAACAAATATCAGCTAATTAAAATTATGATTGGAATAATCCATTTAAAATAGCAAAGTGAACTCAAAATCTCTATACAGAAATATAAACCATTACTAAAAGTCATAAAATGGATACTAGATATTGGATGACATAGCTTTTGAACAGTTATATTCAACATTGAAATTTTCTGAATTAAATTATAATTTATTTAATTCAATTTATTTCATTTAATTCAATCTCATTTAAATTGTCATACTTTTCTGTTATTTTTCTAAAATTAGTTGTGAGAATGATACATTCTGTATGCAAACTTAATCACATGGAAGCACCAGACATGTACAAAGACATGCATAACTATGTATTTTTATATGTGAATGCATATTTAAATCCTGTACAATCGAGGTATATTGTTGTAAACCAGCACTATCATGGTGTTGTACTGCCTTGCTTGTTGCCATGATGATGGAAAATATGCGCTTGTATTTTAAATACCAGCAGATTCATCCATGGCCAAACATGTTAACAGAGCTCCCAATGAAGAAGAGAATAGGGATGAGGACTGTGTTCTTCACTTCTGAGGGATTAGCCGCTGCAAATCATATGAACATCGTTGGAACATTATCTGATATAATGCCAGAAAGTGAACTCCTCAACTTGGCAGTTATTCAAAGCATTATTTGGGAAGAGCTGCCTCTTCAGTTCGGTCAGCCTTATTACTAACTGGAATATGGGATGTAGGAAGTATGAAATGAGTAAAATTGGAACTCATCAAAAATAAAATGGAACACATACAAATTGATTTGCTAGGCATTAATGAGCTGAGCTAGACGGATATAGGCTATTTTGAAACTGAAAATCCCATTGTTTACTAGACCTGGAGTGACAAGTTCATGAAGAA